CCTCCCCCCTCCCTCTCTCTCTCCCCGCCCCTTCTCTCTCTCCAATCCCTCTCTCTCTCTCATTCATTCCCCACCCAGATTTTAGGAATTAAACTTTCCCTCCAAGTCCTGGGGATTTTAGGAATTAAACTTTCCCTCCTAATCCTCTACGCTCTAATTCAAAAATCTGAAACTTATTTCAGATTTTGGAATTTGAACCTCCCCTTCAACCTATTCTTAATGCCCCTAGCGACTCTCTTTCATTAGCCGACTCTCTCCTCCACCTAGCTCTTGTTTCTTGTGAGAATCCCCCTTCTCTCAAGAACATCAACGAACCTTGAAGACGCCATCGATACCACTCCGTACGCGAATCCATTGCATGGTCGATCCTGACACCGACTACGAACTTGCCTACGATGAGCACGATTTCATAAGCATTCTCCATTCAACCTTCTTCGACGTCAACCCGAGGATCGATCAGATGGTTGAAGACTACATCGAACGCATCTTGGACACCTTGGTGGAAGCGATTGAAGAACAACTTTAGATCGTTGAGTGGAGGATTGCCACCGATCTTTGACGGAGGTTTTCTACTCCTCCTCCTCCCGTATTTCTTAAGTCTAACCCTTTTCATGTGATGTGATTGTAGTCACGAAGGACATGTTCGTCCGATTCTGCTAAGCTTAGTAAACGTAGGAATTTGAGCGCATTCATTTGTTTACAAATCTCATTGTTAGACTATGGGTTTTGTTGAAAACTACTACTTTTGCATAATGTTATTTTCTATGTTATTTTGAATATTCAAATCTTTTGGATGTGCAACTTAACCTAAACAAAAGTGACCCCTCTTACGTTTTAATTCGTTGTTTTATTTATTAGCAAGTTTCTTTGTTATTTTTCTAATCAAGAATTTGTGCAATTTCTTAATAAAATCATTTGCAAGCATCATAGTCCTACATCAATAATCCCCAGCTTATTCATCCACAAAAAGACAAAAAGGATCCAAGGACTGTAGCCCTATTCTTAAATATGCAGAACATGTCAAAATAGTTTTATCAAGAATGGAAAACTTGATCACATCAGAGGGCTACACAACTGTAAACAGAAACATAACTTTCAAATGAATATTTGACCCTACTTCAGTGAAATACAAAAAATCTCTCAGCAACATGCTTGAAGCTTAATAAAACATATAGTGAGCACAAAAGTATGGCAGGATTGAAAATTTGAAAAGACACGTACTCAATACCTCAGAAAGGAATTTTTGCTCCTTGCGATGCAAACTGGAAAGTTCAGCAGCCAATTCAGAATGCTTTCTCCTAAATGATAAAAATATATATAGTTGTGATTACCTTTAGAACCGATAGAGGGAAAATTTCTATATCGGTATTGTTATCAGAGTTTGAGACTCATCCAAAGAGTTTTTATTTTTCCATTTCCACTAGTTTAGACAGCTTTAACGTTTTGTTTAACTTCTAATTTTAGTTAAATTATTTCAGGACGATAATATCCCATAATATTAACTTCAAATAGACTAACATTTCTATATTTTTCCGAAAGTAATTCAAAAAATAATAATATTAGGAAAAATTTCATGCGAACGCTACTGATAAAATAAAAATTAGATTTTGAGAAGGAAAGAACCAGTAAATGCTTTTGATCTAGCAAAAGCTATTAATCGTTGATTCCCATTTTACAAGGGATAACAAAAAAAAAACAATGGAACTGATTGGTTTGAACCATGAATTGTCAATATCATCTTTGAAAGTGTTGCATAAAACAGGACAGTATAGGAAAAGCATATGTTTGTATCAAAAAAAATTTCCAGTATGGCATACAAAAATATAAAACAGAAACAGGAATGCAAACTAACTTGTGCTTTTCTTTAAATTTAAAAAGTATGTTAACTTATTTACTGATGCAGAGAAATAGTAGGTTGAGAGAAGAATAAAATGTGTATTCTCCATTTCTCCCAGTGATTCTTTAACAGAAAGGATCAGAATATGCCACACATGATAAGAGTATAAAATCACACTTCTGATTAGTCAGAAAGCAGCTCTTCATAACAAATGTTACAAGGGGCCAACCATTCTGTTGCAGTTATAGAACTGCATAACCACTGAATTACGGATGTTTAACAACTAGAGCATTCGAGAAATGATTGAAGAGTGACCACTGAAATATAATTGTTTGCTTACAAAGCATTGAAAAATCCATGCATTCATGCTGCAGTCCCGTTTGAGATCAGAAAAACATAACCCTGATGAGGTCATCGATAGGAGATTTCGGCGCGTCTATCAGAGACGACCACGGAGATCGACGGCCATGATGGAGAGCCTCTATTATTGATTTTATTTGTACTAGCAGTTTATATGTTATCTATTTATTTTCTTAGTTTTCCCATTTTACCCCTGAGGGTATTAGTTGCTCTTATAGCCCCAAGGGGCATTTTAGACTTTTGCATTTACTTTTATTTGGAGCCTATTTATATGGCCCCTTGTATCTTGTATGAGATTATTGAATGATTGAACAAAATTTGCTTCTAGTGATATCTTTGTGAGTTCTCCATTCCTCTAGTTCTCTCCGTGAGTTCTTGATGGAAATTTCGTGGATCTCTGTGTGAGTTCCAGAATTCTTATTATTTCCCTTTGAGAGCTTGAAGAAGAGGTGAGTGAGTCTAGAAATTCTGAATTTTTTTTTAAATAAAATTGCTGCTCCCAAGCTCTAGAACTCCCTCTCCAATTCTCCTTGTCGCCAGCTCTGTTGACTTGGTCAGAGAACTGGCCGCCGGCCAAGTTAATCCCGCCCCTGCTAGCCCGTCTGCCGACTCCACTTCCCCCATCCAGCACCCGCCCCTGCCGCCGGATCCCCCCCCCTCTTGATCCAGATGTGTTTGGGTTCCAGATTACCCCAAATTAAGCATTTTCTTTATTTACATGAATGTGTGTTGTAGCATAATGATTTTGATAGGAAACACTTGAGATCTTAAGTTGTTTTTTTTTTTTTTTTTTGTTTCTCACACAAAGCAGGCACGTCTTCTCCCCTCTCTCCCTCCCAACCGAAATCCCACATCTCCTTTAAACCCACGGCTCAAATCCTCTCCCCTCTCCAAGCCGCCACCACTCTCTCCCTCCCATTGGGGATCCCTCTTGCGGCGACCACCCGTTCTCACTTGCAAGAATGCATGGAAGAACCCGAGTGGAACTTCGGGTTTGAGTACGACAACAACGGAAGGGTTAACATCCTCAGGTCACAATTCTTCGACGTCGGCTTTGACTTCGACGACACCGTCGAAGAATACTTGGACCGAATCCTACCAACGCTAGTGGATTCCATCGACGAACACTTCTCCGTCTACATGTGGATCATCAAAGGTCGATCTACCGTGCCCCCTCCACCTCCGAGATCCTTCTCCACGGCGCCGTTCCTTGGCTCTTCCCTCCTCGTGGCAACCTCAATACTAGTTTGGACGATCTTCCGCCGCTCAACCTAGTCTTTGTAGGAAAGAGAGAAAAAGGTCTCAAGGTGTGAACAACTCCGTATTAATTGTGGGATTTTTATTTACTAGCCTTAGCTTTATGTTTTCCTTTGTGTTTGTTTAAATAGTTTGGCTATCTTGTTGAAATTTCTTTGCCTTGCAAGTTGAACATCACGAATTCCTTGTAATCGAATTAACTTTGATACATGATTATATAATTGGTTGAGCTAGAATTTAATTCTCTTTTAACTCTTGTGTAACTCCATCCATGCATCACATCAAACCCCAAATATTATATTCACATTAATAAACATGGAACGAAACTATGGCAAATAATATCATCAAGAGTGAAAGATTGCATGGCGTGATGTCTATGGAAATCAAAAAGTTAACACGAAACCACAATGAACTGCTTGTCAACACCGTATAGTTTTGCAAGGAGAAAATTCACCTAAGAGATTGAATATCCTGATGAATGTGAGCTTCATCAGATGAAATTTGAGACTTGAGCATCAAGAGAATAGCTTGCTGCTTAGCATTCTCAACCTGGGCTTCTACCCATTGCCTTTCACTTGTTGCAAAGCTATGGACATAACAAAACATGGTAAGCAAAACAAAATGTGGTGGATAATAAGAAACTCTAGGAAGTTGAACCAAAAAAATTTGGAAAAAAATAGCAGTATGAGTAATCTACCTAGATCTTTGACACCGTTGAAAAAAAAAATTATCAAATATCTACAATCATACTCTGCTGGAAATACAAGTTTTCTTTTGCATGACCTCCATGAATAAAATTGGTATTTTTTTAACAAATGAGTTGATGTGCATAGCACATCCAAGTTGCACGATACCTATTTATATAAATAAATTTATTTGTGAGCGTATTTTAGATGATGACATTACCTACATCTAAATCACTTTGTATAATAAATCTGATGGAAATATATGAAACTCATGTACCAACAGATCAACATACAGAGGGAGAGGGAACAGTAGTCTTGAAATCAAGCGTTAATTAGTTGTAGGTGATGAAGATCACTGAAGAACTTTTTTCATGCCGGATAAATATTTCTCTCTGCTCTTAGTTAGCTGAATTTTTTAATCATCGACTCAATTTTATTAAAATAAAATTTCAACTCAATCTTCGACCCGAGTCACCCAAGACGAATCGATTTAATTGAATATGACTAATTAATACTAATCCAACTCTCATTTTTTTTTTTTTTGCCAAAGCTAGCTTGGATCCATTAATTTAATCAATCAATCCAATTTATTCAATTATTTTGTTCAATTTTACACTAATTTCATTAAGTTCAGTTGAATCAAATCAAAATATGTTATTTTTTTAAGAGATGAAATGACTCAAATCAAGTTGAATCGAGTCAGATTATGTCGAATTAAATTAAATAAAGACGAATCTTGTAAAGTTGAACTAAATCGAGCCAAATCATGTATAATCGACTCAAATTGAGTCAAATCAAAATTAATTGAATTTAAATTGGCTTACCTGGTTCAATTTTACCAAAATTGGGCAGCGCATGTCTGAATTTGGCTTCTTTTAAGCCTTCCCAAATCATATGGATGCAGATTAGAGGGCAGAAATTGCATGCTGAGGGAAAATAGTACCCAGCCATAGCTATTTTTCCACGGTCTCTGGTCCTATCTACGGCTGAAAATATCAAAGGTACTAAAATCACATCCTAGCCGCTATTCCCTAACAAAATGGGGGCCCGATGATCTTTTACTGCCATCCTGGTTGGTATATGCAAAAGAAATCAAGAACGTTGGGAGGCATTTCTTTTTTGGTTTCAATTTTCCAAAGAGAGAAAGGAGTGACTGGAGTGAAACAGAGCAGGGAGTTCTGGCACTTTTTTGTTTTCAATTTTCCAGATAAAAGCGAGAGAGGGCACCTGCAACTAGGGAAGATGAAAGATGCAACTTTTCTTCGTCTTGAGATTTTCTAGAAAGTAGCATTTTATGTTCTTCAATTTTTCAAAAATTGCAAAAAAAATTCTTTCTATTAAGCTGAAAGAAGAAGTCATATAATCCCTTCTTCCAGCAGCTCATCCAAAAAATGGAGAGGTTTTTTTTATTAGAGAAGGGAGGTGAAATACTATTGATGTGATACATGCACGGAGTTACAAGAGATTAACAAGAGAATTTATTAAAAGTTAACCATCATAAAATTATACATCAAATCAAAATAAAATGTTAAAATTAGCGGTCTTCCACTTGCTTAGGCAAAGAGGTACATGAAGATTAACCAAGACACTCTCAATCAAATACAAAGGCGAACGTAATGTAATAGCTTATAACACAAATCCGAAATTTAATATTGAGTTATACACATTGAGGGTTACTCTCTCTCTACGGTTCTAGGCTTAGCGGATGAAGATCTTCCACACCAGAAGTGAGATGACCGCTAGGAAGGAAGAGCCTAGGAGCTTGGTTGTTGGGAAGGTAGCCGGAGGTGGAGGAGGCAAGGATCGTCCGATGAGGAACCATAGGGTTCTTGGTCGTTGAAGCTCGATAGTCACGGCGAGAAAATAAATGATGCGGTTGACGTAGCGTTCCACTGTGCCGTCGTGCTCCCAATCCGGCTCGTAGAAGGGAGAGAGTAGGATGTCGATCTCGCCTTGGGCGTTGTAAGCAAAGCCGTGATCAACTGCCGGATCCGCCATTCATGATCATGAGAGGACTTTGGGTGCAATTGGAAAGTAGGGGTGGAGGAGCGGCTACCTAGGAGAGGCGGCCAAGAGGAGGGGACGGTGGGAGTTCGGGTGGCTTAGGGAAGAGAAGAGGAGGGAGGGAGAAGTCAAAAATCTGAAATTAATTCAGATTTTGATAAAGATGGGAGGGAGGGAATTAATTTTGAAATTCAAACTAAGCCATTAAAGTGGGCCAGCGGTTAGGAGGGAATTAAGGAGGATTAATTGGTGGCAATTAATGAAATAGGCGAGAGAGGGAGAGGGGGATAGGTGGCCGGCCAAATAGAGAGAGGGGGAGAGGGATTTAGGTTTAATTAAGTAGGTCCAGAGCAATAAACAATGATTTAAATAAAATCTGAATTGAATTTCAGATTTTATTTAAAAGGAGAAGTTTCCAAACTTACGTGCTAGCATTTGGAAAGCATTTGAATTTCAAATTTGAGTTGAAATACAATTAAGTAACTTTCTTAATTACTTAGACTTATTTTAGGAAAGTGATTAATGAACATTTGAAATTTGAATTTCAAATGTGATGGCTTGGGGAGGTGGGCCGGCGGGTTGAGCAAGTAGAGGGGGGAGAGGGGAGGGCCACCGGCCGGCGACTAGACTGGTGGCCGGCGGCTTGGGCGGCTAAGGGAAGGGCAGCAGGATGGGGGTGAAGCTTGGGATTTTGGATGAAGGAGAGGGATTTGGTTAGGGGAAAAGTCGGCGGGTGATTGGCTAGGGAAGGAAGTGTAGGTAACGGAAGAAGAAAAGGTCGAGGCCGCGAACCATGGAATCCTCCGACGGTTGAAAGGTCTTGCTCTCACCCACCAAGGGCTATGATGCACCGACACGGACACGGACACGACACGACACGAAACGGGACACGACAATTTTTAAAAATATAGGACACGGGTGCAGCGTGGACACGGCTTAATAATTTTTTAATATAATATATAGAAATAAAGGTGACAATATAGTAAAAATGACAAGCAATAATAAATCAATTTCATGATAACTTGTTTAGCTTATAACATCTCGATGCTCTTTTGAACCTTCACCTAATCCACTCCCGCCAGCAGCAGAGCTCATTTTGCTAACAAATCAATCATACATATGAATAAATTAAATTAAATTGATATAAAGTGAAATCAAAATATCCTAATAATAAGACAACATGAGCGGTACCGAGCATGTATTGAGTGGTACTGAGCACGTACTGAGCGGTACCGAGCATGTACTGAGCGGTGCCGAGCATATACTGAGCAGTACCGAGCATGTACTTAGCGGTACCGAGCATATATTGAGCAGTACCGAGCATGTACGGAGCAGTACCGAGCATGTACCGAGCAGTACCGAGCATGTACCTATCGGTACTGAGCATGTACATTAGGTTTTTCAACAATGAAGAGAAGAAATGGCAAAATCCACTTACAGGTCTTGGCTCTCTTGTGCGCAGAAGGTGCTCTGTTTGGCCTTGATTGCGAACTTTGCCTCGGATGACCGCAGAAATCACGCAAGAATGAAGGAATGGGAAAGACGAGCTCTCCTTGGCCTCGACTCGAGCAGAGATGACGAAGGAACGAGAGACGAAGGCAACGGGCTTCGTTTGGTGTCGACTGCGAGCTCTCCCGGTCCGCCCTAGAAAATTTCTTTCGTGGATCAGAAAAATAGGGCTTCTAGTTCGCGGAAAAGGCAAAATAGAATGAACGATTTTATCATTTAATAACCGGACACGCGTGTCCGATTTTAATTTTAATTTTTTAAATTGCGACACTCCAATGCCGTGTCAGACACGTGTCCATGCCGTGTCCGACGCGTGTCCATGTCCGACACGTGTCCGACACTGCATACCCTCTTTAAGAGGTGTGTCGGTGCATCATAGACCAATGGTCTCTCCTCTCATGAACTCACTTAGAGATCAAACAAAGAACATAAAATTTTATTTCATAATCATCATCCGATACAATAGAGGAGACCACAATATATAGGCATAAGGAAACAAAAAAGACAATGACGTAAATGTCCCTGGGGCTACAACTCAAGACAATTAAAAAAAAGGTACAATCGTAAATAGCAATTAATACATAAACATCAAAATAAGAACTAAACATCAAAATAAATGCTGTGGCTCGTAGCCATCGAGCTGCGCCTCCTGCGCTGATATACTCGTCGAAAACGTCTGTCGATGTCCTCATCAATTATTCATCTGAGATGAAATTGAAGCTGAAAGGTACTGTGAAGGCTTTTGGAGGCTACGAACTTTTCAGTTGTGGGGATAGTGCTCAGCTGAAAGAAAAGAGGAGAGAAGAGATGGGTTGCATGGATTGTTGTCAAACATTTTAAGCAAACTTACAACCTCTTAGATTGTCGTCCTACCTTTTTTTCTTCCTCATTCACCAACCAACTCCGATGAGATTGTGATAGAGACGACGTCCCAAGCAATCCTAAAAGCAGCCTTGTCATTTCAGTTACCTTCGTTTTATCTGAACGAAGGCACTACGGCTAAAAAACTATTGGACACTAGCTCAGGTGAGATAAATTCCCTCAAACTTAGGAAGCCTAGGTCTTTAAACCGTGTGGATGTGTATAACGATTCCATCAAGCCTTAGGACTGATTAAGAAATCTTTGTGAACATGTTTTTATACAAAACACTTGTTTTCTTCCTCGTACAGATATAGAAATCCAATAATTTTCTACAGACTCTTCTCATTTGAGAACTCAAAGCAAAGGACAACGAAATGGTGGATTATTGACCACCAATGCATGAAATCGCATTCCTATCAGAGCTATCCTTTCCCTAAACCAAACCCTAGGTCATTTGTAGCCATTGAATTCCAATAGAATGACTACGCACTTGACTAAAACAAGTTGTATTGCATTTAGGGTTTA